GGACAGGAGGGCCCACACAGGCACAAATACACAGAATAAATTAGTAACGATATCAGAGTAAAAATAACAGAGGCATACATTTAAGTAAACACAGCAGCTACATGCAAATCTTTTAAGAGTTGAGGCTCGAGAGGTCAGTTTTTGTGAGTGAACAGCAGAGGGCGCTGTTCGATCACCAGATCACAGATTGTCCCTTCGCAGAACCAGAAGCAGTGGAAAAAAATGTACAGAAGGCGTCGTAGGACCCTATGCTCTGTCTGCTGTGTCCTGACGGAGAGGAAAGGGCTGTTGGGCTTCCGAGACAAAAAAGGGCACAGCAGCCATTCAAGACAAGTTCTTTAGCTAAGAGCATATTGGGTAGGAAACAGAGGGATCTGATGGAGGTTAATGATACAGGGCCTGGAGGAGTCTGTCAATTTTTATAGGGGTTGCAGGTCTTTTAATGATCTTTTAAAAAAGTTGCTGTTTAAGACTTGGCAGAAAGATGCGTTGTTTTAGGTAAATAAGTAAGTAATTATGTCAATTAGTTGTGCTGAAATTGGTCTGCAATGAAATCCAAAGCTTTCTGTGGTGATTGTGGACATACAGTTGGTGTTTTAGTCCTGAACAGTGAGATACTATAGTCATATTCCAGCCAGATTCCCCATCAGAAACAGCTGCCATCATAAATATCTGTATCATAAATAATGGAGTTGCTTTAGCCTCCAAGTTACTTTTAATGGTTATTCTCTCTTTGCACTGATGAGGCCATAATAACTGGTTGAAGAAGAGGATTGGAGTTAACTGAATCCCACCGACTGCTTCCTTTAAATTGCACAAGTTCTTGGTTTTCCATCCACTTTCGGTGGAAAAGATTCAGAGATTCAGGTTGCTGAAATAGCAGAGAACACAATTATTTCCTGCAATCAAGTCTCTGATCCTTTTGTCTCTGGGATTCACCCACAGTTGTTAAGCTGCAGTGACTGCTACCTCCCACGCTGCTGCTGAAATGAGCTTTTACACATCGGTATCTCATTCCAGGTCCGGAGGCTTGCACACATCCCTCTTCAGTCTGCATTCAGACCTGTTCCGATGCATGAAAACAAACATGAGTGTATGCTTGTTTTCTGCTCCACCGAACACAGAGCATGAAACCTGCATCTATTCTGATAGGTATATTTGTGATTTCAAGTTGCTTTACAACTTTTAAATTGGCATCCTGTAATTATAATGTTCCTAGATGCGGTAGTGTCTTCATGATTTTATAAAGCATTGAGATTTCTGGGACATTTTTTGTAACTATAGCATGTTCAGTAGAGTTGCTCTGCCTCAGCAAACTCAACAACAGAGCTAGAGAGGGCTGCATCACCCAGCTCTTCCTACAAGTTTGCTAAGTCCCATGCTGGAACTGCTCTCACTTAAATACTGTACGTGCTAAGTCTAGTCTGCTTTCATTTCTATGTGAAATGCATGCAGTTCTCCTGCATGCTGGAAGCATTGCACTGAGCCAAAAGCCCACCTGCCTCCTTCCCCCTGGTTCTGTCTTCCTGCCCAGTCCATCTGCAGTTAACAAACCAGTTAGTGCCACACAGCACTGCAGCTCTTCTCAGCCCTGGGTCTGTGCTTGAATGGGTGGTTAAACAGAAACAGCTGAATTCAGGCGTCATGTATTCCAGATCTTCACCCCCTGTATGTCTGTGAAATAGAGCTGTCAGCGGAGTCACAAGCGATGCTTCGGGATACAAGCCTGCTCCCTCCAGCAGGGTCTGGGTGCACAGGCTGATTGGCTCTTTGACAGCCCCACGCCTCTCAGGCAGGTGTGGTTTGCAAGCTAAGAGGGAGCAGAGCACAGCCCAGCACAATGACCCTCTCCAGCCCTCCATCCCTGGATCGATTCCGCTGATTAATTCTCTTCCACCCAGGGAGCGGGCTGATGACAGCTGCCCCTGTTCCCTGCCCAGGAAATGACATTGGATTTCCCCCCTTTATCCCTTTATATCTGGGACCCTATGCTGCCCAGCAGCTCTTGCCTGTTCCCTTATGGACTGCGGTGGGGCTCCCCACAATGAGATCAGAGCAGCCCTAGTTTCTGCCGGTATCTGAGGCGTGGTAGAGCCCAGATCCCTGGCCCGCCTGCGACACTGAGCGTCAGTCTGTTCTCTGCAGCTCTTCTGCAAACTTCCTCAGGATGTGCCACTGCTGCTCTGCTGTGCATGGCTACCTAGGTGTGGAGCAGCTCCTTTAGAAAATGATTTCCTGGTGCTTTGCTACACTTTACTGACCGTTTCCCATGGTGCACAGCGGTCACCTGATAGCCGATTGACGTTGCACCACATGCAGGAGAGAGGGTTCTGTTCCTGATGCTAAAACTAAGCTAAAACTACCAGACTGCGGTATCTGAAACTACCAGAGACTAACAGTAATATTTCACCTCTTAAAACCGCAGTGCAGGTCCTGATAGGACACAATGTTGTCAGATCATCTTTAGCCCAGTCATTTCCAAAACGATTGCTGCTCCACTTCATTTGATAAGGTGAGTGAATTGAGTCTATGGGTCACTGCAGCCACAGCCATTCAGCCTCCAGGAGAT